CCACGGAACCATCTCCTCAGTCCCATGAAACAGTTTCTATTCAGGAAATATGTTACATAACTACTTTACTCTGCTTATGAGAATAACCCACAGAATCAACATATTGATTACCTTGAAGGTAAAATGAAGTAATTAAAAAATTAACCATGTAAAAGGAATAGACTGAGTAAAAGTAAACACATGTCCTGCTTAGCAGGAAAATATACCATAAGGTGGTATGCTCTTATATTGAGAAGTAAGCTCCTCCCATCCAAATACTAACCAGTTCCAACCATGCTTAGCTTTCCAGATTAGAGGAGATTGAGCACATTCAGGGTGATATGGTGGGGAAAGGGGATAACATTTGAAAAGTAAATAAAAAAATATCCATTTTTTTTTAAAAGAAGTAAGCTCCTCAGAAATGAAATATGCCATGGTATCCCAGCAACTCTTCAATAGGCTTGGAGGAAACTAGACATATTTCTGACTTTTTACTTTATGCTATAAGAGTTTATGTTGTTCAAATCCGCTTCTAAAAGGAGAAGAACAGCTCCCTGACCCAAAATCTCACTTGCTTGCTATTTGATCTTGGACCTCCTTTTGTACAGAATTATGAGTGAATGAACTTTGTTATTTATAAAAGACCAAGTCTCAGGTATTTGGTTGTATAGCATGAATGAACTATGATTCCTACCATAAATATTCTATTAAAAAATCAGTTGAATTGTTACTAAGCCTTTCAGAGCCAAGAGGATGTATCTAACTACAGTAACATAGGTGTAACTACAGTGTTTAGGTAATAGGAAATATTATATATCAGTGAATTATGTAATTAAAATAATGTTAATATTAGTGTCTTCTGGAACATTTATAATAAATTGCTATATTTCCAATCTCCACAGTAATAGATATACTTAACTACAAACCCACAAAAGTAACACATTTACTCCTCAACGACATCTCTTCTCAAGTCATTTAAACCTAAAAAATTATTTGAATCAGTATATCTTCTTTGAAAAAATTTCTAAAATTATAATTTTATACATAATTATTTTATATTTTAACATGAATCCCAAATATAAATAAATCAAATAATAATCAGTTTTTGAAACAGATTTTTCATTATTTTTATTTTCTTATGTATTATATTTGGACCACAGTTTCCCTTCCTTCCTCTCCTCCAAATTCCTGTCTTCCCATCCACTTCTCTTCCATTGCCCTTCAGAAAAGGGCATGCCTCCCAGAAATGTCAACTAAACAATGACATATCAAATTGCAATAAGACTAGGTACCTCCCTTCATATTAAGACTAGACAAGGAAACCCACCAGGAAGACAAGAATCACAAAGGGAGGCAAACACATCAGAAACAGTTCCCACTCCTCTATTAGCAGTACTACAAAACACCAAACTGTATAACTATACAATATATTCAGAGGTCCCAGGTTAGACCCATGAAGAGTCCTTGATTGTCACTTCCATCTTAGTGAACCCCTATTAGTCTACAATGATTCTGTGTGTTTGCTTGTGGTGTCTTTGACCCCCCTGGCTCCTATAATCCTTCTTCACCTTTTCCCACAGGATACCCCAACCTTGGCCTAACATATGGCCGTGAGTCTCTGCATCCCTTTCCATCAGTTGCTTGATGGAGTCTTTTTTGATAGTAATGATGATAAACTCCTGTCTACAAGCAAGTATAACAGAATACCATTAGAGATTTCTTGTTCTCCAGGCGGTTAGGAATAGGCTCCTTCTCCTGGTAAGGGTCTCAAACTTGAGCAGCCATTGATTAGCAACTTCCAAAATTTCTGTTCCATCTTTAACTCAGCACATTACGCTGGCAGGACAATTGTATGTTGAAGGTTTTGAGATAGTGATACCTCCAGAAGTTCTTTTATTATGCAGAACTGTTTTAAGCTATCCTGAGTTTTTTGTTTCTCCATACGAAGTTGAGTATTGTTCTTTTTAAGGCCTGTAAAGAGTCGTTTTAGAATATTAATGGGGATTTCATTGAATATATAGATTGATTTTGGTAAAATGTCAGTTTTTACTATGTTAATCTTACTGAGCCATGAACATGGGAGATCTTTTCAGATGTCTTCTTCAATTTCTTTCTTTAAGGGCCTGAATTCCTTGTCATACAGTTCTTTCACTTGCTTGTTTAGTCACAATGTCTCAAATACCCTCCTATTAATGTAGAGGGTTTTATGTGTGATTTAAGTTTTAGATATATTTCTTTTACAAATGTGAGTGCCCTTGTAATTGAGGCACAAGTGTTAAAAATTGAAATATCTTTTGGTGAATTTTTTCTTTGATGAGTATTAATTTTGGTTGAAATTCTATTTTGTTAGATATTAGAATGGCTATACTAGCTTGCTTCCTAAGACATATATTTGGAAAATTTTTCTAAGCCTTACCTCTGAGGTAATGTTTATCTTTGATGTTGATATATATTTCTTCTGTGCAGCAGAAGGATGGATCGTTTTTGCATCCATTCTGTTAGCCTGTGTCTTTTTATTGGGGGATTGAGTCCATTGATATTGGAAGGTATCAATGGCCAATGACTGTTAATTCCTGTTATTTTGTTGGTAGTGGTATTGGCTGTAGTGTGTGTGTGTGTGTGTGTGTATGTGTATCTGTGCAATTTTCTTATTTTGGTTTTGTTGGTGTGAGACTATTGCCTTTGTTTTCATGAATGTAGTTAACCTTCTTGGGTAGTAGTTTTTCATTTTATACTTTCTTATATTTTTGGTTGTGAGCCTAGGCTTTAATGGCTGAGCCATCTCTCCAGCCCCTTTTAGTACTTTCTTTAGGGCTGCATTTGTAGGCAGATTTTTAGATTTAGTTTTATCATAGACTATCTTATTTTCCCTACCTATAGTGGTTAAAAATCTTCCTGGCTATAGTAGTCTGGCTAGAGATGTCTGTGGTTTCTTAGGGTCTGTAATATCTTTTTGGTCTTTCTGGCTTTTAGTGTCTCTGTTGAGAAGTCTGGTATAATTCTGATAGGTCTGCCTTTATATGTTATTTCGCCTTTTCCTTTGCAGCGTTCAATACTCTTGTTTTTCTGTACATTTAAATGTTTTAATTATCATGTGGTGAGGAGATTTACTTTTCTTGTCCTATCTATTTGCTGTTTGGTAAGTTATTTTTGTACTTTTATAGCCATCTCCTTCTTTAGATTAAAAAAATTTACTATTATTTTTTTGAAAATATTTTCTGGTCCTTTGAACTGGGAATCTTCTGCTATTTTTACTATTCTTAGGTTTGGCCTTTTCATAGTGTCCAAGATATCCTTAAGGTTTCATATCAGGAACTTTTTAGATTTAACATTTTCTTTGATATTTGCATCTATGTCTTCCATTGTATCTTCAACATCTGAGATTTTCTCTTCCATCTCTTATATTCTGTTTGTGATGCTTGGGTTGATGCTTTCTGTTTACTCATGCATACTTTATATTTCTAGAATTCTCTCAGTTTGTATTTTCGTTATTACTTTTATTTTTATTTTCAGGTCTTGAACAGTTTTGTTGCTTTCTTCAACTCTTGTTTGTCTTTCATGGGTTTCTTTTATAGTTTTATTAATTTTCTCCAATTGTTTGTTTGAGTCTTCCTGAATTTCCATAAGGGATCTATGTGTTTCCTCCTTAAGGACCTCAATCATCTTCATAAAATTGGATTTAAGGCATTTACTTATGTTTTTGTTGTGTTAGACTAGGAGGATAGCTGGGTTCTGGTGATGAAATTATGCCTTGGATGTTGTTTATTGCACCCTCATGCTGGCATATAGACATCTGGGTTGAGGTATTTAAAGGTCTGGCACCATATTCTGGGTTTGTCTTTTATGATTGGTATTATATTCGTGGGTTTCTGTTTCTTCTCTGGTCTTCTGATCTGTGTGGTCTGAACTACTGCCTGTAAATGTGGTCTCTCATAGAGCAGGGAGTCTCTGCCCCTGTTGGAGGCTGGGACACAGCAAGGAGGAAGGTGGCTCAAACTGATTTTGTGCAGATTTATTTTTGTTATTTTGTCATTTTTCTTTTCAAAAAGAAATAAATCTACATTGCAATATCAGGAAATTAAATTTTTTCTCTTAGTTTCTCACTGAATTACTCTGCTTGGCTTCAAACTAATTTTGGTAATATGTTCTAATCTTCTGGCTCCTTCTCATTTTTGGCTTTTACTGTCTTCACCTGTGTCTAACTCGCTTGTTCTCTCTCTGCAATCTGTCTCTGTAAAACTCTCCCAATAAAACTGCTTCCTTCTTTTTCCTTCCTCTCTCTACACTGCTCCCTTAGGTAGCATCCCTGTCTTCTCCCTTCTGATGAGTGTTGGGCAGAAGCTATTCTGTCAAATCTTTCTCTGATTCATCACTTTGTCTGCCATTCAATGACACATAACTTTCAAACATGGTTGCTTCATTATACAAACTAACTTTACCTTCATTGATTGGGATTAAAGGTATATATTAAGGGTATGTCTGTATTTCAGCCAGAGGGATTAAAGGTATGTGCTAAGGGTGAGCCACAACACAAATAGAAACAGGGTGGTTTTCTTTTTTCAGTAAATAACACAATCTGAGGTTCCCAGGGTGAACAAATATCTTGCAATACTTTCTTGAAACTATTAAGTTTCCTTTTCAATTATCAAACTGTAACTCATTCAGTTTGTGAATTATCATGTTTTTCAGATGCATCTATGTTTCTTAGTGTCTTGACAGCAATAACTCCACAGGTCCAATTAATTCCAGTGTAAAACCTGAAGCCCTGCTTTATAAAATGTCCCAGACCTGATCAGACTTTCACTTTAGCTTAATGGATTTGCACCATCTTCTCTCAATGTTTTTCTTCAAATCTCTCATACGACACAACCTCTTCCCCATGATCTTACTAAGTGTAGCTAAGAAGAAACAGAAGTTATATACATAGTATACTCAGTAAAAACAAACAAATTAGATCCTCATGTTATTTGTCTATAATATCAAAATTGCTGGCACAAAATTTACTTAATTTAGTCCCTTTTCAGAATTATTTCAGGCAGTAATGCAGTATCAGGTTGACATGTGGACTGGATGATGAAATCTCTCTTTTCATATAGTAATTCCCCAAATCCATGTAATATTTTTTTCCATATTGAGGAGGTAACAGGTATTAATCTGGCAAGAAGAGATAGTACACTTGATCCTATCCAAAAGGGTAAAATGATTCCTAATTACTTTTCTAACTATGCTGAGATTTTATGCACATGATGTCAAGCTTTGTAAATAGAAATTAGTTTGAGATTTCAGCCTCAAAGGAAAAATCATTTCCTCAAGCCCTCAAATTAAGGTTCTGCATTTGAGAATCACTGACTATTTTAATTGGATCTTTATAATTATTGTTGGAAACCCATGGGACTGTTTTGAATCAGTACATTATAAATACTTCCATTTTGTTTATGTAATATATGGTATATACATATCCACAGGTACTTATATTCTGTGCTTGGTAAGTAAAGATACACCTTGAATATTTGTAGCTTTATCACTGTAGAAAATATATTTCCTGAATTTTCCTTGACCATTCTGTTTGTATGTTGATATTTTCATGTCACTAAGGAATCCATGTCATACGCATGATCTTCAAATATATAGTTGGAAGACAAACATATTGTCTGAGTGAGCAATGTCTGAACACTAGGCTATGTAGTTTTACATATTCACTCCCACTCTGCACACAATGATAGGACATTGTTCAAATACGTACGCAGACTTTAGCTCATATTTCCATGATGGATTTAGTAACATAAAAATAAAAACCAAAAATCTATACTTATTCTAAGATAATTGTATTGTTTCCTCACTATATAAATTCTACCTTCATAAGAAGGGATTTTATAACATCTAAAAATGGCTCATTTCATTTGTATAATTTTTTTGTGATTAATATCTACAGCATAACATGTATTCTAGGAATGGGTAAAATTTGTTTACTGTTATAAGAACGTATAATGGGACAGAACAAGAAAATATTACTTGTGTGTATACATGAATGAATATGTGAATTGTCAATAAGACAGGTTAATATTTGAATCTGAAAGTTTGTTGCATATTAAAAGATAAATTTTATAAATTGAGTTCTCTTTATAATTCTAAAGCTAAATGAGACATCTATAGTTTGTAGGTGAAAATAAGTTAATATTTATTTTTATTTTGTATCTGAAAGAAGATAATATCACTGTGGAGGGAAATGGAAAACATACATTACTAGTGTTTATAATAGAAATAACCAGCTGGGTTTCTTACGTGCAGTTTTTGGATTTACTTCTTTTTTTCAGAAAGCTTAGAAATATAAAATTTAGGGACTTTCACAACAGAGGTTCATATAAAAATGTAAGTTGATACATATATGAAAGGAAGAATGTATGGAGGAAGTGAATCAATGTGTTCATGTGTGTGTATGAGTGTATACATAATGCATACAGAGAAAGTGAAAGAGAGATCAAACACAAGACATAAGTGGAAGAAATAACTCAGAAAAGGTGAGCTGCACACTGAGAAGAGTTACATTTCTATAGATGAACAGAAGGATGTGAAAAAGTGAGTGAAATTACGGACAGAGGAGAAGGTATTGCTCACATTTACTGCTATTTCCATCTTCCAGAGTGTAAGGAAATGACTTGCCTAAACAACACTGCAATGATGGACTTCATTCTTGTGGGACTCACAGACAGCCCAGTGCTGGGGAGGATCCTCTTTGTGGTGTTTCTGGTCATTTTTGTCATCACACTGGCAGGAAACTTGTTCATGATTGTGTTGATCAGGACCAATTCCCACCTGCAAACACCCATGTACTTCTTCCTTGGCCACCTCTCCTTTGTAGACATTTGCTACTCTTCCAATGTTACCCCAAACATGCTGCATGGTTTCATCACAGATCGGAAGACCATTTCCCATGCTGGATGCTTCACACAGTGTCTCCTCTTCATTGCTTTGGTGATCACTGAATTTTATATCCTTGCTTCAATGGCACTGGACCGCTATGTGGCCATTTGCAGCCCTCTGCATTACAGTACCAGGATGTCCAAGAACGTTTGTGTCTCTCTAGTCACTTTCCCATATGTGTTTGGCTTCCTAAATGGGCTGTCTCAGACTTTACTCACTTTCCACTTGTCTTTCTGTGGCTCCCATGAAATTAACCACTTTTACTGCGCAGATCCTCCTCTGATCATGCTGGCCTGCTCTGACACTCGTGTCAAAAAGATGGCGATGTTTGTTGTTGCTGGCTTCACTCTCTCAAGTTCCCTTGCTATTATTCTTCTATCTTACCTTTTCATTTTTGTAGCTATATTGAGGATACGTTCAGCTGAGGGAAGGCGAAAGGCCTTTTCTACGTGTGGTTCTCACCTGACAACAGTCACCATATTTTATGGAACTCTTTTCTGCATGTACTTAAGACCCCCATCAGAAAAGTCTGTGGAAGAGTCAAAAGTAATTGCAGTTTTTTACACTTTTTTGAGTCCAATGTTGAACCCCTTGATCTATAGCTTAAGGAACAAAGATGTCATCAATGCCATGAAACAGGTCATTAAAGGAAAACTCCTTTAATAAACATTAGTTTATACATGTGTTTAGATAAAATTACTCTGTGCTTCTTTTTTTCCCTGATTTTTTTATTGGATATTTTATTTACATTTCAGCTGTTATCCACTTTCCCTGTTTCCGCTCCACCTAGGAACCCCCATCCCATCCTCCCTCCTCCTGCTCCTATGAGGATGTGGCCGCACATACCTTCCTACTCCCACCTCCCAACCCATGAATTCTCCCACTCTGGGGCATCCAGCATTCACTGGACCAAGGACTTCCTTTCCCACCTATGCCTGACAATGCCATCCTCCCCTACATATACAGTTGGAGCCATGGGTCTCTGTCTATGTGCTCCCAGGCTGGTGGTTTAGACCCAGGGAGCTCTGGTTGGTTAGTATTGTTGCTCTCCCCATGGGGCTGCAAACCCTTTCTACTTCATTCTTCTCTCCCACTCCTTTATTGGGAAGCCCATGATCAGTTCAATGGTTAGCTGTGAGCATCTGCCACTGTATACTTCAGGCTCTGGCAGACTTCTAAGGAGACAGCTATATCAGGCTCCTGTCAGCATGCACTTCCTGGCATCCACATCAGCATCTGGCTTTGGTGACTACACAAGGGATGGATACTCAGGTAGAACAGTCACTGGACAAAAACTTTCCAGTGGAAAAAGGACAGCATTTTCAGCAAATGTTGCTGGTTCAAATGGAGGTCAGCATGTAGAAGAATGCAAATGGATCCATTCTTATCTCCTTGTACAAAGCTCAAGTTCAAGTGGATAAAGGACCTTCACATAAAACTAGATACACTGAAACTAATAGAAGAGAAGGTAGGGAAGACTTTTGAATATCTAGGCACAGGTGGAAAATTTCTGAACAGAACATCAATGGCTTATGCTCTCAGATTAAGAATTGACAAATGGTACCTCAAAAAATTGCAAAGATTCTGTAAGGCAAAGGACACTGTCAATAGGACAAAATGGAAACCAACAGATTGGGAAAAGATCTTTACCAATCCCCCATCCAATAGAGGGCTAATATCCAATACATACAAAGAATTCAAGAAGTTAGACTCCCAACAACTAAATAACCCTATTAAAAATGGGGTACAAATGTAACAAAGAATTCTCAACTGAGGAAACTTGAATAGTTGAGAAGTACCTAAAGCAATGTTCAGTATCCTTAGTCATCAGGAAAATCAAAATCAAAACAACCCTGAGATTCTACCTCACACCAGTCAGAATGGCTAAGATCAAAAACTCAGGTGATAGCAGATGCTGGTGAGGATGTGGAGAAAGAGGAGCACTCCTCCACTCTTGGTGGGATAGCAAGCTGGTAAAACCACTAGGAAATCAGTCTCATGGTTTGTCAGAAAATCAGACATAGCATTACCTGAGGACCCAGCTATACCACTCCTGGGCATATACCCAGAAGATGCTCCAACAAATAACAAGGACACATGCTCAACTATGTTCATAGCAGCCTTATTTATAATAGCCAGAAGCTGGAAAGAACCCAGATGTCCTTCAACAGAGGAATGGATACAGAAAATGTAATATATTTACACAATGGAATATTACGCAGCTACTAAAAACAATGAATTTCAGAAACTCTTATCCAAATGGATGTAACTAGAAAGTGTCATCCTGAGTGAGGTAACCCAATCACAAAAGAACACACATGGTATTCACTCACTGATAATTGAGTATTAGCCCACAAGCTCTCAATATCCAAGATACTACTCACAGACATCGTGAAGCTCATGAACAAGGAAGACCAAAGTGTGGGTGCTTTGGTCCTTCTTAGAAGAAGTAACAAAATACTCATGGGAGCAAATATGGGGACAAAGCCTGGCACTCTGTGCTTCCTTAACTTAGTAATTTTAAGACTTTGTGTCATGACAATTTTCAAACTTAACTTCCGTTAACTAATTTTTCACATTCCTTCTTGAAATTAAGGGAAATATTAGCTAAAATATTCAATACTGACATTGAGAAATACCAGAAATAGTAGAAAAACTCCAATAGTCTACTCTTAGTGTTCAATGATTCCATGGAATGCCTTGCCTCTGTACATGATCATATATCTATGATCAGTGTAAACTTACAGTCAGTCCATTTACTTTGAATAATATTGATAAAAATATATGTCACAGTTATTTTACAATATTTGAAACATTAGATCATTTCTTGCACAATGTCTTGGATAAAGAACTTGATCTGATATCTAAATAATTATTTGAGTATTCATGAAAATATTAAAAAATCGAAACATAGTATCAAAAATCATCTTATCAACTTAGTGATACTAGGGGTCCTCTCCAAGCTTGGAAATATTCTACTGAATGACATCTATTTATATATTGTGAAGAATATCCATCAGTTCCAGTCAGCTTTATCCTCTGCATATTTTTTCAGTAAAATCACTTATAGTTAGAATGTGATAATTTGGACCAATACAGTCTATCCATTGACTTCTGAATATCCAAGAATACCTTGTTTGAAACATGGTGCAGGAGTGAATATAGTCTCCAAGTTCTTGAGTTTTACAGTCAGTGAAAGTTTAATTTTTGTGATAAGTTTTAAGTTTAATGAAAATATAATTACATCCTTTCTCCCTTCAAATCCCTTCCATGCCATGCCCTT